CGCCGGCCGAGCCGAGGTTCAGGCGGATGTAGCCGTTGCTGCCCGAGCCGCGGATGTTGCCCAGGCTGAGCCGGCTGGGCGAGTGGAGGGGCTGGCCCGGGATGGCGCTGGGGGAGCTGGAGCTCGCGCTGGAGCAGAGGGCGTGGCCGGGCACGATCTTCAGAGAGCCGTCCGAATAGTAGAAGTTGCCCGTCTCCCAGAATTTATCGTCGGGGTCTCCCGCCATCTTGCTGGGGATGAAGTTGGGGGGCTCCTTGGGGAGGGAGATGGGGTACACCAGCGTGCTCTCCAGGGGTTTCATCTCCGCGCTCTTCCCCAGGGTGAGCTTGAGCCGCCGCCGCAGATACAGGGCCACGCCTAGCAGGAACAGGCAGGCGGCGCCCAGCGTGATCACCAGCACCCAGAACAGCCCCATCCCCCCGTCCGGGGCCCGCGCCTCCATGAACACGGGCGCGCTGGCCACCACGGCCACCTGGTAGCGCTCTGTCAGGAACTTCACCCCCTGCTCCTCCGAGAAGCAGACGTAGCGGCCGGCCTGGGCGGGCCCCACGCCCCTGATCACCAGCGCCCGCAGCGCGGGGTCGAAGCGCACGCCGAAGTCGTCCCCGCCGCCCATGACCAGCTCCCGGTCGTTAAACAGCCAGACGGCGTGGGCCACGTTGGAGACCAGCTGGCACGGCAGCACCAGGTCCGAGCCCACCACCACGGTGACGTTCCCGGTCCTGGAGTGCTCTGCAGGGAGAGAGAGGGTGATCAGGTGTGCAGGGGGTGCTGTCCAGCCAGCGTCGGCCATTTCTGAGCTGCATCCACGTGCAGCACCTACAGTACCTATACAGTATATATACACTGTGTGTCATGTTTTTTTCTTCTGTCGGTGAGCTCTAAAATATTCATATTTTCCGGCAGGATTATTTTGAATCCGCTGCCCATAAATCAGGAGAGCCCTGATTTAGTTTTTGTTAAGTCCAGAAAAGTGTTTTTAAAGTGAATGAAATGAGCAATTTCAGATTATCTCATTCACACACCCAGCTTCCTCATATGCTGGATCAGGAATTTGTGTTTAGCACATGGGGCTTTAAGATTTGCAGTGAAAAGCACAAGGAGTTACGAGCTTGTTTTCAGGCTCAAATTAAGACTTGGCCGTCTGCTTGAAGGTGTCTTCTTGGTACAGAAGTCATTTTCTTACCTGGGCTGGGGATGGGGCTGGAGTCAAACTTGGCTCTTCCTCGGATGAAGCTCTCCAGCATGATGTCCTGCTTCAGGGAGGGCCTGTGGGGTGGAGCACAGACGCCGTTACTGTATAGTCAAACCACAGGCAAGCTCACTGGATACACCTGGGCTTCAGGTGAGTCTATCACTGGACAATAAGGACATAATCACCACATACAGCATATGTGGAACCTATTTCATTGTGTACATCTGGACCATTTGTAATCCTACTCTGCACACCCTGAACAAATGTATACTCAGAACGTTAATGACTATATATCTGGGTCACGAGCATTCTCACTGTACACAGGTGGACCACGGGGATGCTCACTCTACATATACGGACAGGTGTGTACAACGGGTAAACTCAATGTGCAGACATGGACCACAAGCTCTCTAACTGTGAACACCTGAGCCAGGGACAGACTCAATCAGCCTAGGTGCACCGGAGACTGCTGCAATAGAATTTACCAATAAATTACCTGGCAGCAGGTTGAGCATGGGTACCAAATAGGGACAGTGAGCAGTATTTACCCATGATGCTGGTCAGTGCGGACACAAGCGCGCTTCTCGTTGTCCCAGGCGCAGTAAGGATCCCGGGACAGCAGGCAATCGGGGAGGGAGCTGTAACGCCCACAGTTGGCCAAGGGCACCTGCACCACCTGGGAGCGAGAGCCCACGTACAGCGACTTCTACAGAGGGAGAGAGAGGGCAGGGCAGTTAATGCTGATGTCTTTACATGCTATTAGTCAGTACACCTCTGTCTATGAGACAGTCAGCTTGCATCTCTTTGAACGAGATGGTCAGTATGCATTGGTCAGTAAGCCTCTCTCTGTGAGGCTCTCAGCGTGCATCCCTCTGAATGAGATGGTCAGTATGAACTAGTCAGTACACCTCTGTCTATGAGACAGTCAGCTTGCATCTCTTTGAACGAGATGGTCAGTATGCCTCTCTCTGTGAGATGCACATTATGTACCTCTGCATGAGCTAAGCATGTGCTAGTTAGTTGTACCTCTGTGCGAGACGGTCAGGGTGTAGAGAACTGTGCAGCTTTCTGTGTAAGGTGGTCAGTGCGTATGCAGGTTGCAGTGGATAGGAAAAGTACCTCCTTGTGCGAAATGATCAGGCTCTCAACAGGCTGCGGAGTGTCAAAGAGCTGGACTTCCTCGATGACGTGGACATCTGATCCCAGGCTGACCGCCTTGTACAACCACCCCTCCGCTGAGAGAGAGACAGAGAGAGACTCAGGTCAGCCACCCAGACTGAAGCTCCAAATCTGGCACAGACAGCCTGGCTAATGGCCCTGCTTAAGCCTGAAACAGACTTAGTCTGTTACTCTGCGATCAATATCTAATCAAGCTCCCAACGAAGTGGCTGAGACTTGCAAAGCTCCGGCGTGAAAATGTGTTAAGATCTGTCAAGTCTGTAATGGGGGGGTCTGATCTCTCACTCCCGTTAATAAGTGAATAATTAACGAAGTTCCAGAACTCCAGCCATCAGGGTTAGAGGGCACCTCTGTCTCACTGAAGCGCGCTCTGCAGCGGAGCCTGGATTGGTCAGCACCGCTCCCGCCCACCCTCCCCGCCTCTCTCGGCGTAGTGGCAGTACCGGTGCCGATGAAGAGCACGTTGTAACGGCGCTGGTCCAGCGCGGCCACGCGGTCCACGGCCAGCTGGGTGAAGTTGACGCCCTTCTTGAGCAGCAGGGGGCGGGCCTGGGCACGCTCGTCCATCAGCGGGTGCCTCTTGGCGAAGTTGAGCGTGGCGTCGGGCAGCAGCAGGGAGCTGTTGTAGCCGTTTTCGCGGTGCCAGCGGGTGATGCACTGTCACACACACACACACAGACAGGTCAGTCTCGGCCACGGACACAGCCGGTCATCCTCTCCAGCACAGCCCTGAGCTCCCCTTCCAGTCCCTTTATCGGACAGTGAAACTAAAAATCCTTCGAGCAAAATAAACTTTATTTCACAAGAAACATCCCACAAGAAGTACGCGCTCGTGCAAAGTCATGCAATCCCTATTACAACAGCTCTTAAAAAGGGATACTCGGGCTGGATTTGCACAATAAGAGTCCCTCCAAGTCCTCCCACTTGCTGTTGCCCATGTCTTTTCCCTGTCCTGTCTCTGAAACTCCAGTCGTCCAGTTCTCTGCAGGAGCTCAAAAGAACAGGGATTTCCTCCTCAGTCCCTGTACAGGGCTCACAAGGCCTTTCTGCGCATTATGTTTTGAGTTGGCATAGTATTCTACCTGCTGCTCGTGAACAGCACCAGAGTCATGAATGACATTGGAACTGGGCAGTCATGGTGTGTGTGTGCGCATCAGCGTGCACAGTCAGCTGTTCTTGCTCTTACTGGGGCTCATCAGCGTGACACGGCTAATTTTAACCAGCTCAACAGGCATAAGAAAGATGCATCTTTCAAGACTGACATTGTTCAAGGGCAACTGCTATGAGTTTGGGGAATTAAAATCGTTTTTGTAAGACACGCACGTGTATATGTATAATGTGGCAAGGTAACAGGAGGCTATGTGTGAGGTTCTTGCCACAACTACATTTCCCAGAAACCAGTGGAGGATGACCCGTCACATGACCAGATCAGAATTGGAAGATGGGTCAGGTAATGATATAAGATCCATATTTGCTCGTTGAGAACTGGCTTGTGGTGTTTTCCACTACATTAAGTCCAGAACCCACACCCCCCCCCCGCCTCCTCACCGATCCAGGCCGAGGGGTGGGGACCTGGCCCGAATAGCGCCCCCACTTCTGCGCCGCCTCCCTGTACTCCTTGAAGGGCCCGTCAAAAACCCGCTGCACATCGCCGATCTGGTACTGACACACGGCGGACACGTCCACATCGCCCCTGGGCGCGGGAGAGAGAGAGAGGAGGGCGGGTAAGAGAGGGAGAGACGGACAGGGTGGAATCAGAGGGAGGAAGGGGATCGGAGAGAGGAGGAGGAGGAAGAGAGTAAGAACTGCAGACATCGCCTGTCTAACCCTCCTCTCACAGGAGGATAGAGGGCAGAAACCCCTTTCAGCAGGGAAGAGGGAGTAAGAGAAAGGAGAGAGAGAAGGAGTTAAGGACAAACACACGGAGTGATCTGCTCAGCAGAGGGGGAGAGAAAGAGAGAGGGGGAACTGACCGAAGACAGAGAGGCAGAGGGACGAGCACTCACCACTGCGCGTGGAAAATGGCGTAGAAGGCGGTGTTGCGCCAGTCGGCGGCGGTCAGAGTGTAGACAGCCCGCAACGTGTTGAAGGTCACGTGACGCTCAGGCAGCGAGCACACCAGTCGGGCCTTCTGGAACGACGTCCACTTCTTTTGGAGGGTCCGTGCCCCGCCCACATCGCCCTAATCAGATACACAAAGAAGATGTCTTTGAGATGAGAGTGATTCTCATTGGACACACACACACTAAATGGAGGTGTCTTATTGGTCACACTCTCCATCAATCAGAGTGGCTACTGACTAGTGGGCAGAGACAGACCGTCAGTCCAGTCCCTGATTGGACAAGAACCCAGGCAGGGGCAGGCAGGTGGAGGAAAGGCAGCCTGCGATTGGCTGGCAGCATTACCTTGCAGACCCGGGCGACGCGGGAGACCGTGAGCTCGTTTTCACAGTCCAGTCCCACGGTACGCTCGCTGAAGAAGAAGTAGATTTTGTCGTCGTCCCCGATCTCACTGCCGCTGCTCTCTCGCACAAACGACGAGCCCACAAAGTCCGGCTCTGAGAGGGAGAGAGAGCACGTGTGTGAGGTGCTCGTTAAGCACTGTGTGGTCTGAACTCCGGAGCCGAGGGAGAGTTGAGAGACCGTCTTACCGTTCAGCCAGGTGGGCAGGTACTCAGTCTTCATGGAGTAGTGCTGCCCCAGATTGCGCAGGATCACTGGCTCTGTGCCCAGGAAGTTGTTGAGGGTGGCGGAGTACAGCTCCTTATCTGAACAAAACACAGTCGGAGAGTGAGACCAGCCATCCGCTCTGTGCCACAAATACAGGCAAGAAGAGAGAAATACAGGCAGGCAGAGACACAGATATACAGGGGGGTCTCTCTCACTCACCTACAATCAGGCCCGTGTGGCCCTTGACAGGGTCGAACGGACACTTCCCCTTCCCATCCTCCAGGGCGGTGCTGTCGAGGGAGAAATCGGTCGAGTCCTAGGGAGGAACAAAGGACAGGTTCACATGGGCCAGCTAACTGGTTTATCACACAATCGCCTCCAGTCTTTCCCAAGCACTCTGAGCCACTTCACCCCTATCGAAGCTGAAAGAGGCAACAGCTCGATGCCACATTCATCTTCGTTTTAAAGGCCAGAACAACAGACAAGATCAGCGCTTGGCCAGAAGATCAGGACCTGCAGGATTCGTGGACCCAGCTGTGCTACTTGATTATCCAACATCTAGGATCTGGTCAGACACCAGTGCAGCAGTCTGAGAAATCTCGGCCCGAAGGACGCTGGAGAGCAATCGGTCCAGATTTCGAGATAGAGAAACGCATTGCATACAGGTGCAAGGTCTCACTCACAATATAGGTGCACTTGGGCTGGAAGGCGTAGGTGCCACAGGTGTACAAGTGAGTCCGGTTGTAGCTCTGCAGGAAACGGATGTAGTTAAAGCACTCCGTCTGAGAAAGAGAGAAGAGAGGTGTTAATACATGACTAATTGTAATAACATACTGAAACTGAACCCAAGAGGGAGAGAAAGGTGTTTCATGCATTTGGGTAATACATCTGAAAGACCAGTGTATACTGGATGTATACAGGTACAACTGCAGGCAGTGTGCATGTGAGTGCACAAAAACAGTGAATTAATCGCAATGTTTGAATGCAGTGAAAAATATATCCACAGGGGGGCTCTGTACCTGGTTGTTTTTGCCCTTCTGAGCACACTCCGACTTTTTCAGAGCAGGCCACTTGATCTGGAAGGAGACACAGGCAGTGAGACAACCAGGAAAGCCAGCAGTAGGGCAACCAGACGCAGTGAAACACACTGATAGTGAGACATACAGCCATACTGTCAGTGAGACAGGCAGACCAACACTAACGGATCACTCACAGAGGGCTTGACCTCCCGGGTGATGTCACTCAAGTCCAGGGCAAACAGCGCCTCCCTTGCGCCCACATACAGCAGTCCTGCTCCCTCCGCCAGCATCAAGGTGCTGTAGTTCCACACCCCATCTGCCCAGAAACGCCGCACGCCGTGCAGCCCTGAGAAAGCAGGACAGTGAAAGAAAGAGGGAGAGGGATTAATGCCGAGCCAGAAAGCAGCAGTACGCTGATCTTCAGAGCTGAGCGCGCAGATAAACCGGTCCCCAGGGAAACGAAGCACAGCTGCCTCGTTCCCCACTGCCAGAGGAGGAGGTCCAAACCAGACACACACACACACACAAACCAAATCAGCACTCTTCACACACGCTGCTGAGAAACAACCTTTCCAGTTCTTTCCGACTGAGTTGTGGCTATGCACTCCAGTTTTCAAACGAGAGAGAGGATGGGGCGACCGCCACTCTCCCCTGGCCAGCCTGGCACAATTTGTCCAGTGTGGGGCAGCAGTGTGCAACAAGTGCTGGACAGGGAGGAAGGGGGCAGAGACAAAGAAGCACAACTAACAGCCCAGCTGCGCCGTGTGACCTTCCAGGAGAGAAGTCCTGCATGTGCTGAAGGGAGAGACAGGAAGGGAGGCAGGAAGAGAGAGAGAGGGAGGAGGATGAGGAGCAGGGCACAGAGAGAAAGAGGCGAGAGGGAGAGAGAGAGCGAGGGGGAGCTGTGTGCAGATGTTCAGGGAGCTGGTTCAGTGAGCGTGGTGTGATGCAGTGTTTACAGCACACCGTGTGGATTAGCACACACACAGCTGGGCCCCTGCTCCAGAACTGAGGAGGTTGGGAGGGGGTGAAACTGAGTGTAAAAACAGCAACAACACAACACGCTCCACAAAACAGTGGGGCTGAACGGGTTACCTGCTGTTCTTTTGACCCCCCCTGACAGAAATATCAGCCCTTTGCATCAGGCTCTACGCACCACACATATATATAAAACTGAGGTGTTAGTGACTCCACCATGTTATGCTCAGTTTTTATCAACATCGTGTCAAGGCTGCTGGTTTTTGTATTTAGAGCTGTGCATGTAATTATCACACCTGACTTTGTGCAGGAGGACCCTTATATCAGTTTGTGGAGCATAACTGTGGATGTCAGAGAGCCATCGCTGAACCTCACCTTTCACTGTCAGCTCTAGAACACATCAGCACCAGTGAACTCTTTCTGCAGCTTGGGGTCCCTCTCCTTCTATTTAAAGCTCAGTCTCAGGGAGTCTTACTATAAATACAGCCTAGGACTGGAACCAACACACACTGCACTGTGTAATTAAACTGCTATTTTAAGAAAATTGCTTTGAAGCTGAAACACACACAGAAGTACAAAGAGACAGACAGACAGCGACAAACACACACACTCAGCAGGGTTATGGATGGTGGTGCGAGAAGAGTCCAGCACAGGCAGATAGACTGAAACTGCCTTAAAAGGACAGGAAACAACCTCATCACAGCAGACCGGGAGAGAGGGGAGGAGAGAAAGAGCAGAGAAAAAGCAAGAAAGGAAACAGGAACATAGGAAGAAAGGATTTTAGAAAGATGAAGAGATGCAGATATGAAGAATGAAAAAAGAAATCGAAAAGAAAACCACCAGATGTGAACAGTCCAGCAACTCCACTTACAGCTACGTTGTGGGTTGTGTGTGCAGCGTGTGTGCAATGTGTGCGCAGTATGTCTTTACAGTGTGTATTTCCAGTACAACGTGTGCGCAGTGTGTTTTTCCAGTGTGTATTTCCAGTGCAATGTGTGTGCATGCACTGTGTGTATTGCCAGTGCAGTGTACTTCCAGTGTAGTGTGTGGGCAGTGTGTATTGCCAGTGTAGTGTGTGCACATATATAACCATGTGTATTTCTAGTGCAGTGTGTGTGCAATATGCATTAATAGTGTGTTTCTCCAGTGCCGTGTGTATCTCCAGTGTATCTCCAGTGCAGTGTGTATCTCCAGTGCCGTGTGTATCTCCAGTGTTTCTCCAGTGCCGTG